TAATTAGTAATACAGGGTGTAATACTCCTGAAATAATATTCCAAGAAAATTATTTTTTCTATAATTTCTGTCTGAAAATTGTGCTGCGGCCTATACACACACGCGGCCTATACATGCGTAAATACGGTATATCACTGTTGCTAATTCACACACACTACAATTCAATACAGCATGCACTAAGTCTTCTCAGTCTGCTGTACCTTTATTGGTTGTCGCATGGTAACGGCTTCCAATGCCATAGCTTCCTCAGCATCTGTGTTCACACCCTTACTGGCCTATGACTGTCTGCCAAGTAACTGAACTCTAGACTTGTCCTGCTTATAACATCTTGGCACAGACTGCATAGAAAACACCATTTCCAACTGTTTGTCTGTTATCAATTCATTACCTATATGTACTTAGTTTGGGGGAAGTACTATAAAATTTAATGGAATAAATGAATGAAAAGAGACACTTTGACAGAAATGCAAGTTTTGAGGTACCTGATTTATGTATTTATTAGTTTTAGTTACATTACCTGCAGGTGCTAGAGTGGGGCTCATTCAGTGTTTGACTTCAGATGCATGTATGAGGTGCTATTGGAAAGTCCCCGGACAAGGTCAAAAAAGAAATGCTGGCTTAACTTATTTAATTTTGGCTTCCATCTCCTTCAAAATAGTCTCCTTGGGAATGTATACAGTGATCCAATCATTTTTTTCTCTGCTTCAAAAGCACTGTGGAAGTCATTTTCCTTAATTCTGTTGTGTACCGCTTGCAATTCCCTTTGGATGTGAGACACTGTTTCAAAATGTCGTCCCTTCAGTTTCATTTTCAATTTGGGAAACAAAGCAAAAGCACAGGGGGCTAAGTCCGCCGAGTAGGGAGGATGGGAAAAGATAACCATGTTGTTCTTAGTAAAAAACTGTATGGTTTTCAGGGACGTGTGGTTGGGCGCGTTGTGGTGAAGGAGCTAGTTGTGTTTGCACCAAAGTTCTGGTCTTCTTTGTCACACATTTTCTCTCAAGCGTCTCAAAATGTCACAATAAAAGTCAGAGTTACTGTAGTGTTAGGAGGAACAAATTCGCAGTAAATAATCCCCTTCATGTCGAGAAGGAACAGTGAGCATGCTCTTTGTTGATCTCTGGACCTGCTTTGCATTTTTGCTCTTGGTGATTATGGGCTCTTCCACTGCAACAGTTGTTGCTTTGTTTCTGGATCATAACCATAAATCCAACTTTCATCACCCATTATGATTCTAGAGATAAAAGTTGGTTCCTCATTATCCTTCTGTCATAAGTCAAGAGACACGTTTATGTATGGCTGCTTTTGATCATTTGTCAAGTGTTGGGGAACAAACTTCATGGCAGTGTAGCGCATGTTCAAATTATGTGTTAAGATCTCCTGGCAAACTCCATAACTGATCCCAACGGTGTCTGCGAGCTCATGGATTGTTCAGCGACGCTCTTCATGGATGAGTTCTCAAATTTTATCAGCATTTTCTTTCATTTTACTGGTGCTTGGTCATCCTGAATGTTCATCAACTGACATTCAACCTGCCTTGAAATGTGAATGCCATTCAAAAACTGCTGTTCAGCATAAAGAATGTTCTCCAAGAGCCTCCTGAAGCATTTCAAGGGTTTCAATAGCGGATTTACCGAGCTTCACACAAAACTTTATGCAGACTTGATTTTGCTATCCATTGCAGACAAAATGAAACATGAAATTGAAAAAGCACTCATGTAGAGACAGTGCATGTTGACAGCATGATATCACATGGCAGACTGAAGCAATAGGCTTGCAAAAGTGTGACCTTGGCCCCCCCTCTCATCTTCTTTCTCTGAGGCAGTTGCAACAGTAACAGTCTGGGAACTTTGTTGTGTGCTTGCATGCACACTCTCATAAATACATGTTTTTTTTAACCTACTTTCCTTATTTTGAAAAAAAAAAAAAATAAAAGCAGGCTGCCTGTGTGTCTGTGTAGCCCCCCCTCACTCTATCAACTTTTGAAAGCCTAAATCAGTCATTGTAAAACTTGATATGTATATCATGGCACCTGAGCCCAACTGAATGGTGTACTTCATAAATCCCTCCCATCAATCTGTGTGTATTTGTGTTCCCCTGTCATTGCTAGGCAATTGCTGGGTGAAACCATTACTGTGTCAATGAAAACACTCACACCAATAGAAGATCTGATGGANGATGTAAGACTCATTCCGCTGAATTTAGTCGAGGCATACACCGCGTCGAAGTGAAGCGTGTGGGGACGGGTGTAGTAGTATTCTTGTGCATTAGTTCTCCTACATTACTGGTTTTTGCATTCTTTTAATATACTGTAGTTAAGTAAATGTAATGCTGATTATTGTTACTTCATTTAATTTTTCAGAGCATCAAATCATCTGCTTGCCAAGAAGGAAAAATACAACTTTGAGACAATCCACAATATAGATCCATACGGATCTGACTTTGTACCTACATTCCGAGGCGGCATGAAGTGCTGGAATATGTGTATCCAGTACTGGTTGGCTGTAAACGTTTACAAACGGCTTCCAAGGAATCAGTTTAGGTGTGATTCATGAACTTGGGAAATTTATGAATACATTTTTCTTATGGTAAGGCTAATACTTACTTACTTACGGAGCTGAGCCCTTCTGGAGGAGCTGCCAATTCTGCAGCTACTCAAGAATTTCCCAGCATTTTATGGAACTCAAAGGTTCATTACCATGTTCACAAGAGCCCTCCACTGAGCCAGATCTATCCAATCCATCCCATCCCATCCCATCCTATCTCTAAGATCCATTCTAATATTGCCCACCTACCTATGCCTTGGTCTTCTCTGTGGTCTCTTTCCTTCTGGCTTTCCCACCAATATCCTGTACACATTCCTCGTCTCCCCCATTCATGCTACATGACAAGCCCACCTCATCCTCCCTGACTTGATCATTCTAATTATACTTGGAGAAGAGTACAAATTATGAAGCTCCTCATTATGCAGTTTTCTCCAACCTCCTATCACTTCATCTGTCTTCAGTCCAAATATTCCCCTCAACACCCTCAGTTTATCACACAGAGATATTGGGTTTTCGGACTTTATCCATGGTCGTGGTTTTAAGATAACTAAGAAAGGCACGACGTTTCAGAAACTGTATCTGTTTCCGTCCACAGGTGAGGGAAAACACCTATTTGTTGGGTCCCTTAGAAAGAGCTAGCCTCAATCACTGGATCCAGTAATGTCAGTAATGGCTGTGAGGCTGACAAAAATAGGTCATTTGAGTATTGGGATTGTATCAAGAAATATTTCAGCATGTGGAGAATGCACCACTAAAGTCCAGCTCTATAGCAGTACTCCCAATATTCAGTACATTTTCATTAAAAAAGTTAGAAACCAGTCTTCACAATATGTGAGATACATAAAAGAAAAATTCTGAAATTTTAACTTCCTGTTTTGTTACTGGCAGAACCACCCTATTCTGAGTCATTCTTCATCTGCAGATTTTAATTTTGGTTTGGAGTTCCATCAGTGCTTTTCTAAGGGCTAAGGGATTTTACAGAGAAGAAACGTGGGAAGCAGTACTTTAAAGCAACAAAGTTCTGCAAAAAAAAGAAAATATGAATCAAGAATTCACTCTGAAAGAACAATTAAAAATATTAGCTGACTGCAAGGCACAAGGTGTGCTGTGTATGTCAGATGTCAAGGGAACAAATGACTGGTGTACTGTGTATTTTAAAGAGCGCTGAAGGGCTAACATATGACAAACTTGTGTCTCATATCTGAGAAAACGTTCTGAATTGCAGCTAAAAGAACTGTAACCACTTCTCTGTAAATATTTAACTTCAGATTTTAAATACTTAGACCTTTGAACAAGTGACTATGTTTGGAGTGTGATTTTGCATACCATCTTATATACTCATATCATGTATACTCATACAAATGCTTTCTTGTTTTAGTAAAATTTATTAAATCCTCTTTGTGAAGTTCCTTTGTACAGAGCTTGAAAGGTACTGAGGTCATCTCATTTCATTATTAAGAATGTCATCACTAACTTCAAGGATTGAACCTGTTTACATTGTTCCTTCTCCTGCAGAACTGTGGCGGCTGAAATGTTGGACGTTATTCTTTGTCTTACTTTTATTTAAAACAGAGTTTTCGAGAATTTATTTTTGTCTCCATCAGATAAAAAGCGAACTCAGTTAAGCCCAATTGTTAGATCTAGTCCCTCTGTCCCTGTGATCGCTCCACATATTCTTAATATTAGCAGTAGGTGGAGGTGAGTGGGCAGCGTTGTGCCTGACCAGTGGTACCCCATTCGATATGAGGCTGGGGTTGATCTGAAAGAGAAAGACCTCTGACTCTGTTTGAATTCGAACCCCCCTTTCCTCATTTATTAAGCACATAAGGCAGTTATATTGACTGGACTTTCTCGATTCCTTCCTTAATATATAAATTTCATATATACTGGACAGTGTTTCTTTATGATACTGTGGCATTCTTACAGTGTAGTAAGCATTCATTCAGTTTGAAGAAATAATACTGTTTTCTTTTTCAGAGCTCTCATTACCATGACTGTGTCCGCTATATGGCACGGGGTGTATTTAGGCTATTATCTGTGCCTCATGTCTGCTCCCATGTACCTCCCTGTAGAGGATGTGTATGTAAAAATCAGGAAAGATACCACTGGATGGGTATGTATATGTATGTCATATATACTGGTAAACTAAACCAAGTCAAGAAAGGGAGTTCTGGCAACATTTATGTTGTTCACTTTATTTTAAGAGCTAGCAATTACATAAGGAGGATAGAAATTCTTGTACATTAGAAACTGTGAAACAGCAAAAGAATGTAATTGTCTTTGTGTCAATATGCACTGCCAAAGTACCTATTTTATACAGATCCTAGGTTTTTAACTTCTAGCACACAAAAATATTTAAAATGTATAAATATGTTTATAATTTATCACCATTTAAAATTTTACAATTCATATGTTGTTGGACATTATCCATAATCTTGTCTGTTCTTAAAAAACCGTCCTGTTTAAAAAAAAACAAAACAACGTTTCGGGGACTGGATTCTGTCCCCGTCTTTAGGTAAAACCTACTCAGTTGGGTCCAATAGACAGAGCCAGCCCCTATCTCCAGACAACTATGCCGGTTTCAGAAGGGGTTCATAATCCAAGCACAACACAAACCATCTGTGAGAGCTAAGAAATAGTGAAGCCATCACATATGAGGCCTTGCACCAGAGAAGTATCTTGAATGAAATCATACCTAGAGAGAAGCAATACTCCTCGTGGTACCAACACATGAAACAAATAGTTACCCCCTCCAGCTACACTTGACGGCGCTGTAGTCTGTTGACTTCTGTGATGACAGGGGTTCCAGATGGGAGAGATATCCACACTGGGTTGACTGATTGGATGGTCCAGCAGTGACATGGGCTGATTCCTTGTATTTCCTGTATGTGGTGTTGGGTTAGATCTACAAGACCTTCGCTTCATTCCAACGAATTTTGTGGTGTTCCTCGTATGCATGTTGGGCTAATTTACATTTTTCTAGCAAACCCTGGTTCATATTATATTTGTGCTCCTTAATGCGTACTTCTAGGGGTCTGCTAGTTTCACCGATGTAACATCTGCTGCAGTCGGAAGGGATGCTATACACACAGTGCTTCGTTTTCTGGGCATCTCTAACGGGTCAAGTTTTCATTAATGTCCCCCAGAGCGTATGTTTCGTTTTGAAGATTGTTCTAAGCTGAAAATGGTTCCCGATGCATCTGAATTTCTCGGCGATACCCTTGACATATGGGATGAGTACAGTGCCCCGGTATGTTCTGCCTGAAGAGGGACGATTTCTTGTCGATGGCTTCAATACAGAGTTCACAAATTCTTTAGGATATTCACTGAGCATCAGGTCATGTCTTATGTTTCTGATTTCGCTACTAAAATCCTTCTGGTTTTGTCATACGACCTTCGCTCTGTTGACCAAACTATGAACAACTCCCCTTTTTACATGGTGTGGGTGATTGGACTTGAAGTGAAGATAACGGCCAGTATGAGTAGGCTTTCGGTACACTTGGTGGTCAGTTTTGGACCCTGTTTCGTAACCAAAACCTCCAAAAATGGAAGTGCATTATTAACTTCAACTTCCATAGTGAATTTGATAGTAGGCCTGATGTTGTTAATATGTTGAAGAAATTCCTGTAGCTTTTTCGGTCCATATGGTCATATCACAAACGTGTTGTCGACATATCTAAGCCATTTAGCAGGCTTGTATTCAGCTGTGTCTATTGCTATTTCTTCAGAATGCTCCATGAAAATATTACTGACCACCAGAGATAGTGAGTTTCCCATTGCCATACCTTCCTTTTGCTGGTAGAACGTATCTTCAAACTGGAAGTATGTGGTTTTTAAGCAGATGTCTAGTAGTTCCATCACATCTTCAACTTGTAAAGGTGAGCGTTCTGGGAAGGAAGGATCCATTCTGAGTCTATTTCTTACGATTTTTAAGACCTGTTCCACTGGTATGTTGGTGAACAAACTAACAACGTCAAAACTTACAAGGCAGTCTTCTTTTTGCAGGTTGATATCCTGTATTGATTTTATAAAATGTTCAGAGTTCTTTACGAAGGAATCTGTGTTTCCAGATTGAGGGCTGAGGATCTTATGGAGGAATTCAGCTAATGCATAGCAAGGAGAATCAGTAGAACTAATTATTGGTCTGAGTGCGATATCAGGCTTGTGTATTTTGGGGAGTCCATAGAGGTGAGGGGGTTTGCTGTGGTAGGGGGTCAATTTTCTCTTCAGTGCTGCGGGAAGAATAGTTTTATGTTTAGTAAGGAGTGTCCATATTTTTCTCTCAATTTGAGCTGTAGGATCCTTGCGTAAAATTTCATATACCCTTGCATCTAGGAGGCTGACTATCTTCTCCTTGTAAGTAGATTCGATCAACACCACCATGCAGTTTCCCTTGTCAGCTTGTAGAATTTGTATATGCCCATTATTTTTTAAAGATTTTAACGCCATGGATTCCCTCCTCGTCATGTTAGAAGAAAAAGGTTTTGCTTTCTCTAACATACACCAGATCCGCCAACAGAACCGCATACCCAAGGTGGGGGGAAGTCTGGACCTAGCAGATTCTGCCGCACATGCCATGTCAAGATTAGACATTCTGTTGTTTATTGCGAAATTCAGCCCTTTCTTCAGAATGGATTCTTCAGATTCTGTAAGAACATGGTCGGATCTCCTTTAGCTTCAGAAAATTATGTTTGTATGAGCTTTCCACTGCTTCTGAAACTGGCATAGGTGTCTGGAGATAGGGGCTAGCTCTGTCTATTGGACCCAACTGAGTAGGTTTTACCTGAAGACGGGTACAGAATCCAGTCCCCAAAACGTTTTTTTTTTTTAAGAAACAGGAAGGTTTTTTAAGAACAGACAAGATGATGGATAATGTCCAACAACATATTAATTGTAACAATTTTCCATTGTCACAAACTTTTAGATCTCATTTTAAATTTTGCCAGTTGTGACCATCAAACAGAAGAGCAAAGTCAGATCTCAGATGATCTGCATGTTCGTATTTTATATTATAGAAAAGTGACTTCAAATGAGTCCTGTAGTCTTCAGAGATTCATAAATTTGGTAACATTCTGTTTAAGTCTTCCAATGTAAAGCATAACAGAATGCTTTAGTACAAAAAAAGTGTAATAAGATTTTTTTTAATGCTAGTGGGATGGGACTAAGTCCCTTGTACTGCGGCCATTTCTGGCCTGTTGTACCAGCCCCAGATGATAGGTGAGGGTGATTGTGGAGCAATTGGTGGAATGAAGATTGGCAGGGGAAACCGAAGTACTCGGAGAAAACCTGCCCCAGCGCTGCTTTGTCCACCACAAATCCCACTTGACCAGACCCGGGATCGAACCCGGGCCGCTGCAGTGGGAAGCCAGCGACTAACCGCTTGAGCTGTGGTGCAGCCTATTAAGAAGTTACTTGAAGATTACTGTGTATGATAGAAGAAGTACTGATTTTAATTGTTACACAGGAGCTTAAGCTGAAATCTCTTTTAAATTATGGATGTTAAAGAGAAGGTTTAAGAACTTGAAGATGTGTCTAAAGGCATGATATTTGGTGCCAAATAAAGACGAAGGGATTGTATATTGGTACTAATTTCAACAACGTTTTTAAATTGTACATATCACATGACAGTGTGGTTCAAAATTTGAATAGTATTAAAATGCTTTTTTCAGTAGTTGTTGTATGAAGATATGAAACATTAAACAGATCAACTCGGCCTTAATTTCTCTGTTTCAGAAAATATCCAGTAATTTTTATTTTGTTGCAGGAAGCAAAGGCTTGGGACTTTTTCCTGTGGTTCTTCAAAATGCAAGCATTCTCATACATGGCCATTGTCTTTTTGCTGCTACGTATTGACCTGACCATTAAATTTTGGAGCTCCATCTACTTTGCAGGGCACGTTGTTGCTATCATTCTCTTTGTTCTTGGTAAATTCATTCTTAAGTCCCGCAAGAAGAACAAACATGTATCCAAAACTGAGTAATTTGGATTCATCTTCAGAGCTGAAATGACCTCTACCTGCTATATACCTACAGTTTTGTTTCACACTTGACATAAATGAAACCTGCGTCTCTCTGACATTTTTATTTTTAGGAGTTTTATAAAAATAATGAAGAATAGAGGCTACAGATTATTAATTACCATAGGATCTAACGTTCATAATGGATGTGATTTTCTGTTGTGAATGTAGCAATCACAGGGTGTGCTAAAATTTGGTAAATATTATTACATGCATGCTTCTAACTTAAAACATTACTGAATTGGCAAATGTCAGGAATATTGTCACATGTAGGGGGGGCTTTATTGACAACTTATACACACAACTGGCAATTGCAGAACATACAGTGCTATTACTGATCTACACACTTACAGTTCACTGTTACACACCCACTACGGTTCTTAGTCTTCACTAGTCTTATCCTTGCAGTGAATTTATAACAGTCTCGCTATAAATTCAAATCACACATGAAGTCTTCTTTTCACAGCCTAATTCCTTTCTTGCCATTATCCTGCAACTGCCATTTCCGAAGGCTCAAATCGATTCCTCTGCTCCCAAGCTAATATCCTAGCAGACTGGCATCTCAGAACTCAACTAACTCTTCTCAGCTGAACTCTTTTTTTTATAACCACAATTTTGCATGGACCACAGAATACACAGCCTCTCTATTGTTGGGATGGCATGTTTACAGTGCTGTTGCATAGTAATGGAAGTCACTCGATTCTTGCTTGCATATTCATTTCAGCGTGAATGTGTTTACTGACTTGTTGCCTAGCAATTGAACATCTATTCTGATGTCACTGTTACAGCTTTTGGGTGTCATGTCACAATCTCTTGACTGAATGGAATTTTTAACTGAACTGTGCTTAGATATATTTCAATTAACCTGCGGGAACATCCCACATACTATCATGCTGTTTTGCCGATCAACAGTTAACACTCACTCCTAAGTCCATGGCACGTTGCTGTCAGCTCTCATATTTATACAGCGCTCGCTGTCCAGTTCACTTTTCACCATCACATGCGCTAACCAATCACATTGCTGCCAGCACTCGTATTTATACACACTCACTGTCCAGGCCACATTTAAATCATCACGTGCGCTAGCCAATCAGCACCCACAATAGCAACTGCAAGTTTTGCTCCTCCATGGTATAAAAGGTGCAGCTCCAACCCAGCAATCATCAGTGACCACATCAGCCAGTCAGTCATCACACTTAGTCCAGAGTGATCGGTCTTCGAAGTCATCGGCTCTTCACTGCATCAGGGATGGCTGCCTCGGCTCTCCGGCGGTCATGCCCAACACACCGGGCAACTGGCGCAGCTGCCGCCACTCCAGTGACCGCGCTCCACGACCAGACGTCTTCCAGCAACCATGCTCTGTGACCAGGCAACTTCCAGCAACTGCCGCACTGTGACCAGACAACTAACTCAGCTGCCACAACATTAGCCAACATCTATTTCTACCAGCGCACGCAGCCCTACATCACCGGCCAGACAGACCAGCCGAACAGTCGTAAAACTCTATTTACTTTGGTGGAGCAATCAGCCCTTTTGAGGGCCCACAAACTTTCCAAAGTGGTTGTCTATTGGAGTATCAAGAAATCCCACAAACCCAAAGAAAAGACAGTTTAAAATGAAAAAAACTAATTTCTGTTGTTTTATTCCCTGTTTCTCATGTAATCATTTGTATTTTGATTTGAAGTTGGTAGATTTGTCAGATAAAACACATCTGGTTTACAGCGTGGAGTGACTTGGTTCTGTTCTGCTTCATACTTTGTGAAAAGTATGTTGAGTATCTGGACAGTTCTTTTATATTTCAAAGATTATGAAAGGATTCATATCATCTGATATTTGACAAGAAATAATAGTATGTTCATTTGAAGTGGCCAAGCCACAAATGTGATAACTCTCCTCTGTCTAGTGTTGAGGTCAAAAATAGTGGAGTTATATTTCCATTTCCCCATATATTAAGTAAAAGTATACAATTTTACCGGTACCTCTTTTAAAATATAATAAGCAAACATATACCAGGAACGTGACTGCTTCTGTGGCCTAGTGGTCAGTGTTCCTGGCTAAAGATCCAGATGTCATGAGTTCAATTCCTGGCACTACCAGATTTTCTGAGAAGTAGTAGGTCTGGAACGGGGTTCACTGTCTCGTAAGGCTAATTGAGGAGCTATTTCAAGGAAATAGCAGCTCCGGTCTAGAAAACCGATATCAACGGCCATAGGGATTCATTGTGCTGACCATGTGACACCCTCTGTCTGCTAAAAGTTGGCACTAACTTCGCTAACAAGCAGCGGTAGCCCAGTCAGTATAGTTTGCTTGCGGAGTACAGGCCACTGAGTTTGTTTGTCTATAGCATGATAGTAATGTCCCCTTTTAATTTAGAACAGCTATTGGCTTGTCATTATCATTAATGAAACATTACACTGTAAAAATATTCACTTTTGCTTTCTTGTAAACTGGTAGTTATTGTATTATATTGTCACATGTTGGGTGTTTGTAACGCGACAATTAACTTCATGCCATCTTATATGTAGCAAATTTATTGTACACTCGCTCTTACACTTACACAATTCACAATTTCACAGCCATCTGCAGTGTCACAATTACTTCTCCTGCTGTAGTCACTTCCATTCACTCGATACAACTCGATAACAACTCGTAGCTGCTGGACTTCAACTCATACTGAATACTCCTCTCTCTGAAGGCTGAAAACTGACTACTAATGCTCAAGTAACTCTGGCGAATGCTAGACTGCAACTGCACTTGGCGACAGCTAGACTTCCACTGCTCTTGATGACTGCTAGACTTACACTGAACTCCCTAGGTATACCAGTTTCTCTTATAAACCCTCAACCAGACAGCGAAAAATGCACCTCGCTTCCCTGTTGTGTAATCACCATGTTTACCGATTGCCTAGCAATAGTCACTGCATGGACTTGCCTGTCGCATGACGTCACAGCCTAGCAGGGAGGGGTGTTTACCAAGCGTTGGGTGGTGATGGAAGGAGTGGGGGTATGTGACGTCACTTGCAGAAACGCAGAGTTCACATGACCCCTACTTTCTGTTGCTCCATCCGCGTTACATTTCACCCTTCTAAAGGCTGTTCATCCCGAACGGCCTCACGGTACATCCCCGTTCCTTTTTCTTTGGTGTTTGCCTTTGGGGAGCTACCTCCGCCCCCTTTCTTCAAGGTGCTCGTCCCGAGCAGCTCTGTGGTCCAGCAGTCGATGATTCCATCATCTCACATTCATTCATTCATTCACTCATTCAAGCTTGGGAGGCCGGTGCTTACCAAGCGTTGTGTGGCGATTGAAGGAGTGAGGGTATATGACGTCTCTTGCGGAAATGCAGAGTTCACGTGGCCCCTACTTCCTGTTGCGCCATCCACGTTACATATTCATGTTCTTTACCAGGCAGTACTACACATTAATTCTTCATTTGATTCAAATTCACCAGATATATTTTGAATTATTACAGTTCATCATAAAATCATGATCAGTTGTCTGATTGCATGTGATACCTACATTTATCCCTCACAGTGACCAATCAGACATCTCAAACTGGCAGTACCATGCCAATTTAAATCACCATTTCATCATCATAAGTGAACATACTATAGATGTCAGGGGATGTGTATCCTTTTCTACAGAAAGTACATCCCCTTATTGACCTTTGTTGCCAAGAAGACAAATTCTAAAAAATGAGACAGATTTGTTTAGAGACTCATGAACTCCAGCAGTAATTATAAGGTAATTTTTCGAGGTTGTGTGGTCAACAGTCGTGTATTACATTCAGGAGATGCTGTATTTGATTCTTGGTCAAGAGGCCACCAATGGTGAGATGTTTTGTGTTTTTCCTGAATCTCTCAAGGAAGAATTGTGTTCTAATACTTTGAAATAGGTTATTTAGGCCATTTATGCTTCCTTCCATACCTGTCATCACTGAGAGTCATCCTATGCATCACATCTGCTTTGGGAAGAGTGTCATTAATTAAAGTAGGAAATATGATCATGAGGTATGCAGATAATATTCTTGATCAGCTGTACTAACTGGTACTTTTCATGGTTTTTCGTGGTCCTCTGAGGAACCTGTGGAAGTACTTTAACCTGTTACACCCACAGAAGGTTTTGTGAACCTGTCTGTAGCATTTGTCAGTAAATGAAATTCTGAGTGCAACCACTGCCATCTTTCATTGATTTTGGAGCCTGCAGAGGGAAGATGATGATAGCTTGGGAATATATTTGAGTCAGCTGGTTCAGAGTTGAAATGGAGGGGGACACAGACATCATGGTGATCTTGTAAGCTTACATTTTTTCCTTTAAGGTGTGGAAAGTAGGCTGAAACTTGAACACTTGACAATGAAATTTCTGGAAAAATTGTCTTCCAGAATGAAACCTGAGTTCTGGTGAAGTGAAGATACGAGTATGTATTTGAAAGGTTGAAGACAGGCTAGGAAGTTATATTTCACTATGCAGATACTCTGCTCTTAAGTTACCTGATAAAATTAGTAGATCTGGATTTGCCAAAGTCTTGAATGGTGCAATTTTTTTTACTTTTTGTAGGGGGAAAAGGATGAAGAACAATAGTTTGTATGAATGCGTTTATTGGTGCAGCAGCTTATGGAATGAGAATATGATAATGTTGATCCTGTATTTCTCAGTCCAGTATATTGCTGAATTTTTATGGAGATGATTTCATGTTTTGCTAATACACTTGGTCATCGACTTAACAAACAGCCGCGCTTATGACCACAAAAAGATGATTAGAATGTAAAGATTTTTAAAAATAAATTATAAAGATGATAAAAGGATTAGAAAGGTTAAAAAATACTGTTAATAAATATATGGCCCACATACGACCAGATCGACTTGACCTGTCAGTCAGAACGTAAATCGACGACCAAGCGTATTTGTATGTATGTTGACATTTTTATATAATGGTTTCATTTAGTGAATTTCTGAGTGACTCTCTTTTGTGTAAAGATATATTTGATTATACAAATAAATTTTTATTATTAGGGGATACCATATTTATTATCAAATTTGTAATTGATGAGAAAAATGTAAAGGTACACAATGAGGTAGTATATATTAAAGGGACACAATTGTGCTGTATCTGTATTATTCTCTGCTACTGAAGGATGTACTGATTCAGCTATTTCTCTTCTCTATGATGTCTGACTATAGCCTAAAGCATTGGTTCTCAAAAAAGGACATCATATCATGGCCAGTCTGTTAAGACAGTGAAATAACATAAAACTAAGCTATTGAGTTCAACCACATATTAAATAACCTTTCTATTCATTA